CTTTATCATGTGGAGACAAGGAGTTTCTCTTTGATCTTAAACAACACATGAGTAATGTGGATGGGATTCTGAAATGTCCTGGTGGAAATTTTCAGAGTTCTTGTGCTTTCAAAGGTTACAAAGTTGAGATCGAGAACCACGCTCCTAGGCTTTATTACACTGCTCACTGTAAAAACGAAATGGACACCTCGGTGAAGACTAAGCTTGGCTTGAAGAAATGCTCTGGAGATTTAGAAGTTTGTATCTAGTCTTAAAACCTCTCACTTTCTTAATTTTTTTACAAATGCAAGCTGCTGCTCTTCACAAGTTCTGTTGGAAGACTTGTTCGAACCAAATTATGTGAGTTTGGATGTCATGGAAAACATAAATTTTGTTCTACGAGCTTTCAAGAACTCTAAAGTTTCTTACGATTTCTATCTCCCTTGGAGAGATTCCATGAGCTGGGTGACTTGCTCCACTTGTTCGGGGCTCCGGCACGCCGAGAAGAGCACCCTCGCGGTCACAGCGTCGGCTCTACACCCGGACTCGAGCATCTTCTTGAGGATACTCGTGCATTTCCTGTAGAGCTTCTTCTTGGCGTAGCCTCCCATCAAGGCCGTCCAAGTCGTGGCGTCCGGAACGAGCTTGAGCCTCGCCAGTCCCTGGAAGAGCTCCTCCGCCCTGGGAATGAATCCCGCCTGAGCGTAAACTTGGATCAGCGTGTTGTAGGTACCAATGTCTGGCTTGGTTTGCTTGGACGACGATTTCACCATCTTTGCGAGGAGAGCTTCCATGTCCTCGTGCCTGCCGGAAACTCCATAGGCGTTGATGAGAGAGTTGTAGATCAGAGTGTCCGGCTTTGTTCCATCCCTCTCCATGGCGGAGACGAGCTCCTCGGCCTCTTCGACCCTCCCGGCTCTTGCATAGGCGCTCAGGAGGAGCATGTTGGACTTGAGGTTTGGAGAAAAGCCGGCGCTTTGCATGGACTTGAAAATCTTCTCGGCATCTGCAATAGAGGCTCTCTTAGCAAAACTTGGAAGTGGTCGAAATGGACTTTCGAAAGATTTTACCTTCATATAGCCCAGCTCGTCCATAGGCATTGATAAGAATGTTGTGAGAGACCGTGTCCGGGAAGCAGCCATTTCTTTGCATTGTCTGGAAAATCTCGAGTGCCCCGGCCGGAGAACCTCCTTGGCTTAAAAAACAGCATTTTTCAAGGAAACAAAAATGGAAGGTTTCTACTATACCTGTACGCTTCCATCAACGCGTTGTAGGCGTAGTGGTCGGGCTTGTAGTCGAACTCCTGCAGCTTGTCGAAGTATCTCTCGGCTTCTCGGTACAGCCCTTGTCTCGCAAAAGCGTTCATGAGAGCAGTGAATGTACAAATATTTGGAGGACACATAGCGCGCCTCATGCTTCTGTAAAGCATCTCCGCCTTGGAAGGCTCCCCTGCCTGATCATAGAGATATTAAAAACTTACGTTCCAAGATCTCTGTGAAGTTTAAACACTACCTTGCCATAGATGACAATCATCCGGTTGTAAGTGTCAATGTTTGGCTCGCACTCGTACTTCTCCAGGTCCCGGAACAAAGCTTCGGCCCTCCTGTATTCTTTCGCGTCTTCTAAAACGTGGAGAAAGGTGTTGCATGCCAGCGGCCCTGAAACAAAAGCCTGAGTAAAACTTAGTTCCCCCAACAGCGCAGAACAAAGGTTGTAGGCGTTACCAGGACTGTATCCCCGCTTTTGCATTTGGACGAAGAGTTCCTCGGCCTTTTCGAATGAGCCCGCAAGCCTGTAGCCATTTATCAGGACGCCGAAAGTTTCCTCGTTCGGAACACAGAGAGCCTCTTGCATCCGGTTGAAAGTCTTCTCAGCATCTTCTATGTTCAAGCTTTTCCCGTAAGCGTCAATCAAAAGATTGTAACAGCCGAGGTCTGGCCGAAAAGTGGTGCCTTGGAGCACCCACTCACACATCTGAAGAAGAAAAAAACGAAAGTTTCATGAAAGTTGCAATGAAGGAACACTTACAAACCTGTGTAACACGCGGCCAGTCTTTGTAGTTCCAGAAGTGAACGACCACACTCATGAAATTATCCCAAGTATCGTGACCTCTAGGCAGGTTGTCGAGTGCGTTCCAAATAGCCGTGGCGTCCTCTTGCATTCGTAGAAACTGTGCCAAAGAACTCGCGGCTGGGCTGAGAACGATGAGCTCAATCTCGGTAAAGTTCCGTCCTGTCTCGAGCCATGCCTTTCCATGTCTGGTACCTATACAAAAACATGAGATGCACAGTCCCGACATGGAAAACACGAAGCTCAAACCTTTCCTCCTCTTGGAGACTTTCTTATCCAGAAGGGGATTCTCAACCCGACGAAAGACCGGCTTGTTCTTCACTGGCTGGAGCTTGTCACGCTCAAAGATCTTCGACGCACGGGGTATCAATCGCTTCAGACAAGAATTGGAGCTCACATTCTCAAACCCAACTCTGAAAAATCTGCCTATGAGACTGCAATACAAAGGCACAAAATTAGCGAAGAAGCAAAAGTAGAGAGCCACAATACCATGAATCCTGCGGCTGTATTGGAGCTAGAATCGACATCCCAGTGTCACGCGTGCGCCACCATGTTCGTCACTAAGCCCTAGAAAATGGGAAAAAGGCATTGTTTTTTTTTTTCTTTCAAATCGAAATAGCATATACCCTTTTTTAAGGAAGTAAGCGATAAGTATATTCCTTAGTTTGCAATTCTTTTCCCTTTTTTTCAATGTTCTTTGGTTTTTATTTTTCTGGCAAGCTTGATGCTGCTGCAGAGGCAATCAGGAAAAGAATCTCTTGACTGTAAAATCGTGCGTGTTTCTCGCACCACCTTGGTGTCTCCACTTATGAAACAAGCCTTGATAAAGGACGTGTAGCAGATTGTATCAAGATGAAAACCATGCTTTTGCATATCGTTTGCTTTGCCCACCTACAAAGGCAACAGAGTAAGAAATCAAACTATCAAAGGGGATTCGTTTACCCGTCAAGCATAGTGCAGTACGTGATTTGATTATGTTTCAGTCCTGCATCAGTAATCTGCTGAAACACTTCGGCTGCACCATGCATGGCACCAGAGTTACAGCATGCCTTGAGTAGCGCACCATAGGCAACGACGTCGATCGCCCTTTGAAACACTCCAAAAGCCTTCTCGACATCGCCAGTTCGTGCATAGCCCTCTGTAAAAGCCGTGTAGATTCGTTCGCTCGGAACAACATCGTTCGCGAGCGTTTCATCAAGCATCAGACGCGCATTTTCCATCTGGCATGAAGCTTACATCAGAATTAGATCGACAAATTATGCATGGTTACCTTGCAAGGCCGCGAAGTAAGGAATTGTAAGAAAGAAGTCTCAGGCCTGCCGATTTGATCTTGTCGAAAACTTCCATTGCCTTTTTAATTTTTCCCAGTCTTCTGCTTCAGTGAGTTGTATCAGTTGGGGAAAGAATTTCTTCAGTCTGTTGCATGTTTCTAGCTTACATATCAAACAAAAAACTCAAGACTCTTTTGGTTAGTAACAAAATGCATCCTTTGTGTAGATGGAAATCGATCAAAAGCCCATACTCCGGCTAAAAAGCGAACTAAAAAGAGAACAAGAAAAACAGACAAGTACCTTATCCAGCAAATCGAGACCTTATGCCAGTGTGCTCATCCAGAGCATCCTTTTTTACGTCATCGTCTAGTATGGTAGCCAACTTTTTTCCTACGAATTTTGGCTCCCGACTTTTCGTAATAAACAAAGCAAAAGCCTTTGTTCCTCCTTTTTCGCACAATAGGGAGATTGAAGCTCAACATCCAATCCTTTTTCCTCGCTTTCTGAATGATTTCTGGAAAAGTGAGTGAAACCGGGAGGCAACCTTCTCGAACCATTTCACCACAGTGGAAGGGCTATGCTCATGCCGTGCTACAATGCAAACGATGTAAAGTACCTACAGCCTGCCTACCCAAAATTTTCATCACTCCCTTAGAGATACTAAGCCTGCATTCCCCACCTACATTTCCAAAAATCCTCCTTCGCCAGGGCCTCCTGAAAAAGTTTACAGTAGACTTGAAGTTCTTTGTAAAATGTCTTACCTTCACTGAAGCCGCTGTCTTTTTGAAGAAGCGGCAGACATTTCCACCAAAGCTTCAACCCTGGCTGCCAGCGCGCGATCGACATCTTCTTTCGTCCACTTGACCACCCTTGGACCGATGATTATCTTGAGGAGGGACTCGTAAAACAGCATGGGATGAGGCATCACCGCGCCACCTTCCTGATTAATATCTGGGAGCCCGTATGGCTGCAAACAAACCGTGTTCAAAACGAGGTTAAAACTATTGCTGGTAGAATAAATACCTGGTCATCAACGAAGGCATTTGCAACACCGTACTGCTTGTCAGGGTAGCTGATACCGGGATGAGACTTACACTTTGCCTGCATCCACTGTTGACGGGATGACAAAGCTTCTTCGAGCTTCGCCTTGGTGAACTTCACATGGAAGTGCGTTGGATCTTTTCCAAGGAACTTCCATCGCTGGAACTGCTGCTCACGGAATTCTATTCATGTGGCACAAACATCAGCAAAAGGTTTGCAAGAGAAAGTAGTTTACGTGGCTCACCTTTGTATGACTCGTCCGTGATTCGGCCTCCCTCGAGCGTCACAGATCCATATATGTCAAGCAGGCCATATTTCCATTCGTCTCGTGACCACTGTTGGACAAAAACTGGCGCAACCCGTCCTTTTCCGAGATTGATCAAGCCTTCCTTACAGGCGTAAGCAAGAGCTTGATACATCCCATTCACTGTCAGAGGCTAAAAACGAAACGGTGAAGAACTAAACCAAAATACAAAGCTACTATATACCTCCTTCCCTTCGATGCACAGCACAGTTATCCACTCGTTCAATTCCGTCACCCAAACCTTCACCGAGAAATCTTTCTCGGGTGTTCCATCCATGGGCTGGACAGAGCCTGAAGCTGTCTCCATGTCTGGTTCATCAGCAGCTTCCTCTGCGTCTGTTTCCTGCAAATGTGACTGCACGTTGAGCTCACACTTCTGCCATGGCTCATAAAGCTTGTAAGTTCGGCTCACTTTAAGCGAAACGTTTTACTTACGTTTGTAAGTGGCTCAACGGCAAGACCTGCCTGATCTCCGTCTCTTGGTACGGGGTAAGGGATGGGATAGGGATCTGGGAGCTCCTCGTCCTGTTCTTCAGACACAATCGGGTCTTTTTCTATGCCAAGCCTGCGGAGCCTCTTGGCAAAGTTGGGTGACGGAGTCGTCAGGTACCAGCATCCAGACAGGAAACTCTGATGGTATGTCTTTAAACTCATCTCACTTTTCCTAGACTTGCAAACACTTCGAACAAGAAGCGCAAAACAAGAATAGGATAAGTCGTTTACCGTGAGAACAACGAGTGACTTACCTAGCTTCAGCCATGGTAGTCCGGGACAGCATCTTGCCGATAGCGTAGGCGAGCACCTCCTTGTCCATCAAGCTCGACCGCACAGCGTCTGCACTGGAGGTCTTCACCAACTTGACGAAGGGCTGATTGATGAGAAATACTTCCTTGCTGTATTCACTCGGTGGGAACTTCAATGGATTCGTGATCCCCTTTCGATTACCATTCTTGACTTCCTCCTTGAGCGTGAGGAATGCAGCTAGAAGCTCGTCTCTTGACAAGGCGCTCACATCGATCTTGTCTAGATCCATGATTAGGAAACCTAGATAAAGCATTAATCGAATTGCCACCTACAGCAAAATCGCGGATCACGAGCACCTAGCTCTGCGCCTGAGATATCTGTCCATCTTTGCGACAACTGCGGCATCCACAACAACTTTCTGAGCTGCAATCTCGGCAGAAATAGCCTGAATCTTCTCGCCCAGTGTACTGTTTTGCGATGCGCAGGAAATCAATCCAGATAAAAGGCAGTTGCTCAGAGCACTGTCAAGTTGGAGTCCACTGGCTTTTGCTTGTTCGTAGCACGAGATTGCCTGGTCCGGATCAGCAGCTGCCAGCCATCCATGAATGAGAGTCGTGTAAGTCCTTGCGTTTACTTCTAGCTTTTTCTCACGCATTACTGCCAGAGTTTCTGTCACCTCCTGCTATATAGAAGAAAGGATCAAATGAGAAGATTGTTTTTGAGAAATCTCACCTCGGTGTCTCCACTTCTGAAACAAGCCTTGATAAAGGACGTGTAGCAGATTGTATCAAGATGAAAACCATGCTTTTGCATATCGTTTAAGAGATCTCTTGCTTTGGAAAGCTCTCCCTTTCGTGCCCACCTGCAAGGCAACAGAGTAAGAAAAAAAAACTATCAAAGGGGATTCGTTTACCCGTCAAGCATAGTGCAGTACGTGATTCGATTATGTTTCAGTCCTGCATCAGTGATCTGTTGAAACACTTCGGCTGCACGCTGCATGGCACCAGATTTACAGCATGCCTTGAGTAGCGCACCATAGGCAACAATGTCGATCGCTAGATTTTCCTTCTTCATCCTTTGAAACATTCCAAAAGCCTTCTCGACATCGCCAGCTCGTGCATAGCCCTCTGTAAGAGCCGTGTAGCTTCGTTCGTTCGGAACAACCCCGTTCGCTAGCATTTCATTTAGCATCAGACGCGCATTTTCCATCTGCCATGAAACGTAAATCGAGAAAGGAAGAAGAAACGTACACTTTGTTACCTGTCGCGCTTTCGCAAGGCCGCTGAGTAAGGAGTTGTAAGAAACAACCCCAGGTCTCAGGCCTGCCGTTTTAATCCTGTCGAAAACTTCCAATGCCTTTTGGATATTTCCCCCTTTCACATATCCATCGAGTATCGAGGTGTATGTTTCGATAGTTGGAAGAAGTCGGTTGGCTTCGATGTTTTCCAAAACACCAAGAGCTTTGTCCATGCGTCCAGCTTTACAGAACGCGTGAACCAGGATGTTGTATATCACAATGTCTGGCTTAAGCCCGGCCGAAACCATATCTTCCCAGACTTTGAACGCAGCTGTAAAATCACCACCACGAGCGTAGCCGTCCATTATCATAGCATAGATCATCTTGTTGGGAGAAACTCCATGCTTATCCATTTCCTCCAAAATATCAAGAGCCTTAGCCATGTTTCCAGCCTGCTACAGAGCGCGTCAGCAACGTAAAGTATTCTTGGAAAAATCTAAACCTTCGTAAAAAGTTTGACAATGCAGCCGTATGTTGCGGCTGTTGGTGACAATCCACAAGCCTGAATGTTCTTAAACAGCTTGAAACAAATGCCCAATATCAAGTCACAGGACTCACCTTCAATCTGTGAAAGAAACTAAGACACTTCTCTTCGTCACGTATCTCCGCAAAACCATTAAGCACTGTGGTGTATAATCCCAAGTTTCCTTGAAATCCTTCCTCTTCCATTTGTGCTAATAAAGCTTCCACCGTTTCCATGTTCCCAGCTTGACTGTATCGAGAAAACTCGTCAAAGAGCACCAACCTAGAAAGAAACAAAGAGGGTTACCAATATGCTTGGACTATACTGTTGTAGACGATCCCACCAGGAACGAGATTTTCGGCCTTGAATTTCTCAAACCAATGTTCTGCAGCCCTTGCAAAAATGGTCACGCTGTAAGAGCAGCAAGCCTTGCCTCAGTGCGAGAATCGTACTCGTTATTTCCAGCACTTGCATATCCCGATATGATCGAGCAGAATACTGCTTCATTGAGTTGTATGCCTTGGGAAAGCATTTCTTCAGTGCACGCTACAGCCCCTTCCATGTCTCTAGCTTCTGCATAAGCATGAATCAAACTGAAAGACAAAAGAGTCCTTCTGGTTTCACTAACAAGACGCGTACCTCGTGTAGATATGAACATTGGGCTTGATGTGAGAAGCTCGCATAGCTTCAAAAGTTGCTCGTGCAGCAACTTTGTCACCATGTCTTGCATAGAAATCGACCAAAAGCCCATACTCTCGTAACACTGGCTGTAAAGAAAGTTGGAAAAAAGCGAACTAAAAAGAGAACAAGAAAAACAGTACCTTGTCGATCACTTGAAAAGCGTTGACAATCTTATGCCAGTTTCCAGCGTCAATTTCCA